CAGCCTGACTATCAATTTACTTTTACCTGTCGAAGTTAGCCATAGCGTCTGTTTAATCACGACTAAATTTATTTCGCCCATTGAGGAAGTAGTAACATCTCCCTGCCCTTGCCACTCTTCAGGCAGTGTGCCCTTTATCAATGAACCCAAACTTGTACATGCATCTTTCACATAAGAGAGCAATGATGCTTACAGTGTACCCAGGGATTGACGACGGTCGGGAGAATCCAAGCACAACCCAAAATATTAACGATGCCAGCGAGAGGAAGATGATGCAAGGTACAAAGATGGCAGAAATGCGATCAGCCAGCTGTTGAATCGGAGCCTTTAAAGTGAATGAAGGGAGTGAGGAAGAAGGAAGGAGAGAGAAGAGAAAGACTGAGGTCAAGAACATACCTTAGAGGACTGTGCATCCTCAATCAGTGCGATAATCTGTGCAAGGGTGGATTCACTGCCAATGTGTGTTGCTTGAACGTAGAGGAGACTGGTGAGGTTTATGGCACCACCCACTACAACGTTGCCTTTAGAGGAGAGGAAGAGGAAGTGGGTAGTAGGATAGCCAATGTGGAAATGGCAAAGTTATAACTACTGACTAACCAACAGTCTTGGGAACAGGCATAGACTCTCCCGTCAGCATAGACTCATCGCAGGAGGAGGTGCCCAACACCACGTGACCATCCACAGGCACCTTCTCACCAGGTAATATCTACCACGGGATGGCAAACATTTCGGCCTTTGATAGGTGATGAAGCAAGTACGTATACAAACTAAAAGTCACCTTAATTATGTCTCCACGTTGAACAAGTTCGACGGGTATGCATCGCTCTTGGTAGTGCTGAAGAGCGTCGAAAGTGAGCTGCTTCTCACGGATAGAAGGGTTCAAAGGACCGCCTTGTGGCTCCATTAGAGTGGCCTCTTTGGCTTGAAGCGAAAACAATTTGGAGATAGTTTCCGATGTCCTTTTCTAGGTAGAAAACATCACCTATTCCACTTACATCGAAATTGTCAAAAATGAAATAGATGACGATGAATAGTGGAC